TTCAAACTTCCTACGACTGTAGTTAAAAATAAGACTCAGAGCAATAATTTTCCCACTGCCAGTGTTGTCAGACTTGAAACCTGGTCCTGAATGACCCAGTGGTGTCTCATTAAGCTGGACGAGTGTGTGATCATGAGGTCTGCATCCTGGGAGGGAGGTGAGAACATAGTTTCTTGGGGAAAAGTCCTCTCTTTTCTGTCCCTTACAAGCCATCAGCTCATCTTCTCATGCACAAAATGGCAGAGGAAGCTTAAAGCAGCCTGAAAATAACACTGCATCTCTGCTGCCTGGTTCTCATTGTAGAGCAAAGAAAGAAGCCCATCGATTCATCCCGCTGGGTAATTAAATGCTTAATGCTATTGACTATAAAGACATTATGGTTCAGTAGCCCAACACTAATGCATTAATAATCACTTATATCATGGCAAGGAAGGGGCATGAGCTGCTCCTGAGGAATGTGATAGTTACGTGAGATGGGAGCTTGCAGTGAAAAACTTTAAGGCCTGAATTAGTGCCATGATGACTTGCAGGAGCAACAGCTTCTCCCAGGGAGCAGTGGGAGAGGGAAGGGCTAGAAGGATCGTGGAGGGGGCAGGCAGCCCCTACCCCAGGGAAGCTCCGCCCAGCCACACAATGGATGGGCAGTGGGGACGGGGTCTGCGCTCGAGCATCAGTGCTGCCTCCTGCACATCCCTGGGGTGGCGTAAGCTATGGGATCAGGAAGATAAATCTGAGCAGAGCAACCCTTTTATAAAAAGCCATGGTGCAGGCATGAGCAGGGTCTGCCCACCTCCTATATTCACAATAATTAGCTGGCTGCTTTAGCATATTTATTATGCAAATGCTGTGGAGTACACGTTGCCTGGGATCAATCACATGAAAATGTGGCCAAGTGAGCGCAGCTCTGAGCTGAAGAGGGCAATTTGCTCGCTGGGAAAGATGGTGCTGACCCTCAGAGTGTGGCGTGCTGGCAGATACTGTGCATCCCCCAAGGAGCCTCACCTGGTGAGGGATGGAGATTGCTGTGGGGGCTGCACAGCATCCCACCTGCAGGGACTTCAGATCCCAGCAACGTGGCAGGAGTCTCGTGTCCCATGGCCACACAGGCTGCACAAGGCCCATTTACAGAAGGTGGAGGAAGGAAGGACCTGCAGCAGCATGGGGAGAGGTGATCATTCCAAAACCATCTTCTGCTGAGTTTTTTCCCAGCTCCTCATAAGCAAGGCATTGCCCCTCCAGCAACGGCACACTGGGTTAACCCAGAAGCTCACCTGCAGCCACACTGAGGGCCAGAGCAGACATGGCCTAAAAAGCCACCAGAAACACAATTTTAATCTAAAATCCATGTGAGCAGTCCCCTACCCAAGGATAAGGGGAGATCATGCACTCTTCCTGGCCTCCAGCATGAAGACCAAAAGTCCTTGCAATTTTATCTGAGCAAATAAAAGTGCAGATCATGCTGTCAAACACTTATTTGATTTGTTTCTCTGGTGGCTCTGCAACACTTCTTTCTCTGAAAGTAATTTCATTACTTTCTCTGTCCTATGCCATAGTCCAGTAATGTAGCATCTTCCCAATAAAAGGTCCATTAATATAATCCACAAGTAGTTGGCACTTTCTGCCTTGTCCAGGAGAACCAACTGGGTGCCCTGTTGCCCCTTGAAAAAGGGGGAGTTTTAACAGTTATTCTGAGTGGGATAAGTAATCTCCAAGCACTGTTTATAGCCTGGTTTATCTTCCTGAAGTTGCATTTCTCCCAAAGTTTTGATTCACAGCTTGAAATCCAGCCTCTTTAAAAAAAAAAAAAAAAAAAAGGCTGGAAAGAAAGAGAAGGGAAGATCCTTTCCTACAGTCTCCTGGGATGAGGAAGGAGGTGCCTCTGGCTCGTGTGGAATGCCCAAAGGGGGACACAGGGAGGAGCAGTGCCTGGTGCTCCCAGTCTCCCACCTCGCCAGGTAAGGCAGCCCTGACTCCCTGAGCTGCTGCATTTCCTCTAGAAAAGCCTTTCTGAGACCGAGGTTAACCTAAATACATACCTATGTTGGTACATATGTGTGTATAAAAGCCTTGCTAAGGGTTTTTTAGGGTATTAGGAGTGAAACAGATTTCCTGAGGTTGCTGTGAGGGTAAGGGAAATGCACTGCTGTTGCTGGGTCTCTGCACCCCTGTGCTCTGAGGTTTTGGGACATGCCCATGGTGGTCAGAGGTCAGGGTCCGCGCCATGGAGCGGTGCTCGCTCTACACCCTTTTTTGAGAGCAGAATGAATCATCACTGCTATGGGTGCCAAACCCAGCACCCTCTGGGCTGTGAACCTCATAGTCTCATGCTTAAACTTGCTGAAATTGGTTGGGGCTCCTGCAAGGCAGGTGGCATTGCCCTGCGCCTTCAGGCTGAGGAGCACCCAAACTAGTCCAGCTGCCTCACTGGGGCTCACCCTGCAGCCTCATCCTCACCCTGGCTCAGGGCATCACTCCCGGGGAAACTGAGCTCCTCTGTACAAGGCACTTCTCACCACAGGGCCAGCATTGCTCAGATGATAAAACACACCCAGCGGATGAGCCACAGCCTGGGAGGGGACAAACCCATCTGCAAAAGGAGATTGCACTGGGAGAAAGGTCCAGAAGGAAAAGGGGAAATTTCAGGGCAAGCCCAAATATCTCCAGTCACAGCAGTGTCAGGTTTTTTTATTTAAATGGGTTTTCCTTGGCCTCCAGTTTTCAAGTGGCTCCATCACATTGCAGGTGAAGGCTGCCTGTGCACAGAGGCAGGTGGTTTCTCTATAGGACTGGCCCAAGCTCTTCCTGCACACCAGGGCAGTGGCAACACAGGGGTTAACATGGAGCCTGGTCTCATCATCCTTGGCCAAAAAACTTCGTTGTGGCTAAATAAATGATCCTGCAGATTGGCCAATTATGAGGGGGCCAAGAGCTGCTCCCACCCCTGACAAAGGCAGGAGAGATGAACACATCCCAGGTCCCTGCCCTGGATGCTGGCTTTGCTGGAAAACTAGCTAAAGGCAAACCTTAATGGGTCTAAGAGAGCACTGAGATGTACTTGCACTGTCATTAGTGCAGGATTTGTGCAGTGCTGCGTGGTCTAAACCTCCACCCTCTAGGTATTAAAAGGTGCATTTAGCACTGAAAGGACTGGAGGGCGCAAAAATGCACCAAGCGGGGGAGTCTTGCTCTGCTCACTCATATTCAGTCCTTTCTCATTTTCCCCAGTGCCTTGGACCCAAGTGATATTTGCACACAATCAGGATCTGTTTTTCTACCTCTGCTTCTGTCCTTGCTCTCAGCTGCAGAAAGGTGATCCTCCTTCTGCCACCATTGAGGCTGAAGGCAGCAAACTGGGGGAGGAGTTCAGAGGGGACAGCAGCAACGTGGTGGCTTGCCACAAAGTGCCCAGCTGTTTTCTGCAAAAAACATTAAATCCTTCTCTTGGAGGATGAGCCTGGTTTTGCGTGTCTGGCACTGGGCAGTGAGCAGCCTCTTGGATGAGGGAGAATTATACCAGAAGGTCCTGAAGATGCCAGCAAGTGCCTGTCGGCCACATCACACTCATGCGTGTCCCAGCTGCTGAAAACAGTTACCCTGGGGTGACCCGTGAATTCACACACACTGGTGCTGCAGCACAGGAGAGCACCCGTCCTCACCACCAAGGAGGGGACGTGGCTGAAGCAAGCACCTTGGCAGAGTGGGGCTGCGGTAGGACCACATCTCCCTGCAGCTTTCACTTGGAGATGCTCCGGCTCCCTCTGGGGGAGAGTTGGATATTGAGAAGATACCAGATTGCTGGGCCTGGTCTTTCCTATTGTTTTAACTTGTTCTCCCAAACCCTGGCTCAAGCACAGTCAGGCTTGATGACCAAAATTATCACTGGCATAAAAAAGATGGTGTTGGGACCTCCTGAATGGGGCTGGAGATCCCCAAACCTGTTTCTAGTAGGTTTGGGGAGAAAATCATGAGTGATGCACAGGGTGTCTCATTGCTGACCCCAGCCTCCCCCAACCCACACATGCACAATGAAATTGCACAAGTGTTGGCCAAAGGCCCTGTTCAGCTCTGGAGCTGTTGCACTCTGCGGGGATGTTAAACTTTTGGGGCAAGGAAGCAGGACAGGAGCTGGGAGAACAGCAAGCAGACACAGAGACCTCTCGAAGGTCAGCAAGGAAGGGGATTCTCGCAGATATGACCTGTCAGATCAACCTCAGCTCCAAGGATAGATGGTTTGCAACCTGTGGCTTCTGGAATAGCATTAAACTCCCTTACATCTCCCCGTTACATTTTCACAGGTTCAATCAACAGAGACACAAACCTTTTTTTCAGGAGGAAAAACCTTTAAATGCTTCAGTTGCCACACTCACCCACCCTGACTGGGTGCAAATGGGTGCTTTTCAGGTCCATTATCATCATTTACTGTGTTTTCTTTCTTTTAGCTTTTTGCTGCTGTATATTTAATTCAACCACGCAGCACACAATCAGTACAAATCACTCTCACCTTTCTTCCTTCTTCCATGGCAGGGGACTGAAGAATCCCTCACCCAGCCCTCCTCTTGTGGGGCTCCCCACTCATGCAGATGATGCTTTTGTACTGCACTTGCTGCTGTTGTGTTTCGGGCTCTTGCCAGATGGACTCACTGCCTGCAAGCCAGGATTGCCACAGAAAAATAGAAATGAAACCCAGCTCAAACCATTTGCTTTTCCATCTGTGCAAGGTGGTTGTTTAAATCAGCCCCGGCAGAGAGATTTGGAGCTGGGGCCAGGATCAGTTGGGATGACTGAAGAGCTGGAGAGAGATGTGGATCTCCCTCTAACCAGAGCAGAAATCACTTGAAGACACCAGGAAGAGCAAAGAGCTCTTAAACAGGGGAGCCCAAACCATGGTGCAAATACAAGGCAGTACCTAGAGAAAGGCAGTTTGAGCTTGGGATTGCTAACAGGATCCCCAGGTGGCTAGGAGCTGTAGGTGTGGGAGAGAAGAGCAGGGCAGGCAGCAGCAACACCCTCCCCTGTTCCTCATTAATACAGCAGTGAGGCTTGATAGGTCTTCTAAATTATAACGACTTTCTTGTCATTAACTTGATTTCTTTCTGGTGACAGCAACAACAAATTGTTCCCAGTTGTTCTGAGCACAGGATGAGAAATTCAAAGGAATTAAACCAAGCCAAGTGCTGGAGGGGTTGGTGGCCTGGGCAGGGCGGTGTGTGTGTAGATGCCAGAAAGGGAAAAGTGGGGTCAGGGCTTACAATTGTCCCTGCAAGTAAGACACTGAAAAGCAGGTGCCTGCCACAGTGGGCTCTGGCTGGGGAGGGGACACCCATGTGTGTGCTGAGGCCACTGCTATGGGAGAGGACACATGGAGACTGATGGGTTGTGGGGTCTTGCCCAGCCAAGAGAGACAGGCATCCTGTAGAGATGCTTTTTGGGGTGAAAGTTGAATAAAAGCAACTTGGACCAACAAGCCAAAAGCCTTCCCTGAGGAAAGCAGGATCTTGTCCACCACTTGCCATAAACCTGCAGCCCTCTGGGGATTTCCCCCTCCCAGGAGCATCCCCTGGCTGGGACCCAGCTGGGGGACGAAGGAGGGTAGCACTGCTGAGCTTCTTTCTGAGCCTGCACAGGCAAGTGTCAGGCAGCAAAGGGTTTCTATCAGCCACCCCTGCAGAGATCAAGCACAGGAGCTGGGGAAAACTGGATTTATTTCTGTGTCTATTTTCTGCTGCCTGTTGGCAGCTCCTGCACCTGCAGGCACTTGCCTGCCTGCGAGGGCAGTGAGAAGGGCTTGCCTGGGAAATCCACCCCTTCCCATCTCTGCCAAATACCTGCTGGGGGCCTGTGTCCTCCCCTCCTGGCAGCCCCAGGCTGATTCTTGTGTGAAATACAGCCAGCTTTTGGCCTGGCTTTTAGCTCCGGGGCCAGCTGGGTCCATCCTGCACATGATGCGAGCTCTGAGGGTGGGTGTGGATGTCTCATGCTTGGTCTCAGCACCATTAATGCGAAATGGTCATTAATGCAAGACAATCACTCTACCTGCACAGGAAAGATAGCAAGAAAGAGGTGTTTGGCCTCCAGATGCCTCTCAGACAGCTTTCTCCAATGTACCACATTAAATAGTTCTGAAATGGGAAGACCAACTCACCCTGGCTGCTGTGATAAGCACAAAGAGTGATAAAACCCTCTAATTAAAGTCTGCTGCTATAATAACGTTGCAGCAGAGACATCTGGGGTCTATCCCTGAGTGCAGGTCCATGTCTTGTGTCTTTACTTGTTTTCATTGCAAACTCATTTTGGAGGGGGTCAGACCAGGTACTGCTGGGTGCTTTGAGTACCAGGAGGGAGGGGAAGATGCTGTCTGGGCATGGTGGAGTGGAGCAGCAAGGGCTGCCTTTTTTTTCCTGACTGTAATGCAGACCAGGTCCTTAGCAGAAGCAAATACCCTCCAAACTACACTTGAAGAGGAGCTGACCTTACAGAAAAGCATCCGATCCATGGGGAGGGATTTTTCCTTGAGGTACTCCACCACCGCCCTTGAGAACTTGTGCTCACATTTCTCTGGTCCTAAATATATATATAAAACTAGATAAAAGTTAGCTTTTTCCAGTCTGGGCATCCCAGATTTTCTCTTCATACTGGAATTTGTCCCACCCCAGTGAGGACCAGAGAGCTGGTGGCCCCTCATCCTCCACAACTCATGCAGGGAACCAGGGAAGACTCCTGGGACATGTATGCTGGGGACCCTAAGCACAGCTTCTGTGGGCTCTGGGGAAGCCCTTTGCAGACTGTTGTCCTCCAGGTCAGTCTTGGGGTTCTCCACTTGCACTCCCCAAGCCCCGGGGACCTGCACATGCTCAGGGACGATGTGGGGGCCTTGGGCTGAGCCTGATCCCCCCAACACTGCTGGGATCACAGCTGGTTGTTAGCAGTCCCTGCTTGCCTCGGAGCTCTGCCATCCAGCCAGCTTTAATCCACTTACTGCCATGCTAATTACGCATCACTTCCATTTCTTAACCGAAGTGTCCCCATGAACCAAATTAAGCATCACCCAGGCTCCTCTAACATCAGTTCTGTCATCTTTAGCAACAACACGTTGTGACAGAAGAAAGCATGGGCTAACCAGACAGTCTGTCTTTTCTAACTCGTTGCAGTGGGGTTTTAGCCCTGCCCTAGGTGATGCTTGTGAAGGGGCCCAGTGGCTTTAATCCACTGCTTTTCCCCTGAACATTGCTAGGCTGTGGGGAAGGGTGCTGGGCATTGTGCTTCTGTCCTTCCTGCCACCCTGCCGCGAGGACAGTGGGATTTCAGGCAGGGAGGTCCTTTAACACACAGATCTTCACTTCTTGGAAATGCCCTTTGCTCATCTAGCCCCAGTGTGTTCCCTCCCTGCATGCCCTAAGGCGGGGAGAGGTGGGGTACAGGGATGTGAACACGGCCTGGCCCCTCCAGGGCTGTTGGGTTTGCCATGATGTGGAGATTATCCCCAGTGCAGGTGGCAGCCGCAACAGAGACAGCCTGTGCATCCAGAGCTGCACCTGAGCTCCTCCATCAGGGCCTTGGGGTGGGCTGTGCTTCCCACACCGCCTCTTCCCAGCCTCCCCGCAGTGAGTGGCTGTCTGGAAAGGTGGTTCCTATGCGAGTCCTGGCTCTTTGGGAAGTCACCAAGGAGGCAGGAGAGAAGATGGGCTGCCTTCAGTGTGGGGCTAAAAATGTAACCCACAGGTATCCTCAAGGAGGAGAATCAAATCCTATATATATTTCTCTTGCTGTCTGTTTGTCCTCCTGCCCATCACCAGTCTGTAGGCACTATGTGATAGCTTTTCACTGCCACCCCTATCCTGGATTAAGAGGAATAATTGAAATATTGTTCAAAAAGTGGCCTAAGTCAGTGCTGAGCTCAAACCCAGGACAACCCTGTGGTTTCCTGACATTTACATTTTCCTGCTTCCCTGCTCCCCTCACAAAGGCTGGTGGGAATCTCGGTGGGAAAGGCTGCCATGCTGCATCCATGGCCAGGCAGCCCAAATCGCCCCACTGCCCGGCCCCAGCGACGGACTGCTTGCTCCCAGGCACGCGAGGGCTTTGCCAGTTCATGCTGTATGAGTTTTCCCCATACCATGGCTGTGTGAAGGAAGCGAAAAACAACACTTCCCTTGACTTATTGAAGAGGGACAGCGAAAAAATCTGCTGGCGCTCTCTGGAGCCATGCGCCATCTATCATGGCTCCAAATGGACAAATCCATTGCTGTAAAACTTGAGTTTGGCTCTGTAAAGGGAAAAAAAAAAAACACAAACCCACCCCATGCCTGTTGCAAACAACCACAGCACAAAAAAAAGCCTTACAAGGCTGAGGCAGCCTCATAGAAGGATTGCTTTTTAATCCCCAAAGCTAGGGTGATAAATCTTTTTACTGGAAGCTCCAGATATACTGTGTCACTCAGGGCACGTGGCAGCATGGGGGAAAAACAGCTCCACCAGCAGAGGAGTCTCCTGGGAGCAGGGCCTGAGGTGATGGAGGAGGGATGGGTGCTCGCCCTGGGGGTGCTGAGCAGGCACAGAGGGGCAGGAGGGTTCCTCTGGGGCCAGGAGCACGGCACTAGGCAGGAACTGGCTGTTGGACAGATGCTGCCATAAATCTGGGAAGACAGATGGACAACTTTTGGGGAATGGCTCTTTGGAAACAAAACCTTTGGAGATGAGATCACGGCATGGAGCCTGACCCGGCCACATGCTCTGTATTGCAGGGTCAGAGAGATGCTTCCTCCAGCTCTGAGCAAAGACCCAAAGAACAGCACCTGCATGCTCCCCCAAGCTCCCAGCCCCTCTGCTCTGCCCCCTCCAGGCATCCTTGGGTCCTCCTTTCCCCACAGCCATCCCAAAGCACCAGTTGAATCCCCCCTGGCCAGTTACACAGGGAAGAACAGCAGGAGTTACTCCCCCCATCCCTGCCTTCTGTTGCTTCCCTCCTCTGCAGGGCTCTTTGTTTCTATACCACCTCCCCGGCAGGAATAATCCTTCTAAGTTATAGTGGGAAGGTGACGGGGACCAGGCTGAGCCTGAGGGCACAGGCCAGTGGGGAGCATTCTCCTTGGAGCCAACAGGCTCCATAATTCCCCTCGGGAGGGCTGCAATAAGCTACCTTCCCAGTGATGGAGAGGTGTAAAACCTGCTCCATGAAACCATTCTTCCCTGGGAGATCAGTTCATTTTTTATTATGTTTCATGCCCTGACTGCAGATTTTATTAAAATTAATTATGGGATTAAAGGACTTGCCTGGGAGCCTTTGGTCGCAGCATCTCTCCTGAGCCTGTCCGAGATGCGGTACCTGGGGACTTGGGGTTGTCTCCACACACTGCCACAAAACCCCGGCCAGGGGAAAAAAGTTTTCCTTGCACATCATCCAGGAGCTGCCACTGGCCACACAAGCCATTGGAGTGCTTTTCAGGGTAATGCCTGGCCCAGCTGTGCGGGAAGGGTGGGCGGTGGGGCAGCCCCTGATACGCCAGAATCTCAGCAGAGCATTCCCCACCTACATCCAGGGAGAATTTGGGGTAGCCAAGAAGGATGTGGAGTCCCAAACTGGGAGAGAGCAGGGCAGCTGTGGACACAAGCCTGGATGAAGGCAGAGCCAGTGCCTCAATCTTTCTGTCTGCTCTGAGCTCCACTCCAGCTGTGCCCCAGGACCCCCCAGAAAACCCCAGGGACACACACACTGTCCTCCGGCACTGACCAAGGATCTCATGCTGCAGTGGCTGCAGCCATATCCTCACACAGCCCAGCTGCTCATGAGCAGAGGGTCATGTCCTGCTAACTGGTGGCACGAGGGACCCCAAAGCTCCACACAGGCGGCTGTCGCTGCATAATAAAACACTATCATCCGCCTATTAAAATGCCATTCCCTGGAGATTTGTGGCTGGGGAAGCAGCTGGGTGAAGTGAGATGGGGCAATAACAGCCATCGAGGAGGCATCAGTCACATGCACCTGTGCAGCAGTGACAAGGGGCCCCACATGGCTGCCAGGGTGCTGTGCCCTGCCAGGACCATCAGCGATGGGAAAGGAAGAGGAAAGGAAACAGATGGATCTTGTTGCCCTTGGCCATGCTGACATCCTCTGGAGAGAGGCTGTGAGCAGCCAGCAGGACCCTGAAGTGCAAAGTTACTGCATCCCCACAGCCAGCAGGACCCCACAAGGGTCAAGGAAGGGCTTTGACCACAGCAGACCCTGCTGTGGGGATGGGGAGTCAGGGGGGAACTGGCCACGCTGCCCCCAAGTCAGGGACCGGACCAATGAGGGCAGAAGGGAGTTTGCAAACCCCAAATCCTGCCCATTCTTGGTTGCTGGCCTGGCCGCAGCCCTGTGTGATGCGCTTAGGAGGGGCTGGAAGCAGAGCAGCAGCAGGCAGCAATGTCCCTGTCAGTGCTCTGCCTGGGGCTTGCTCCCCCAGTATTTCTGCTCAGGTCCCCGAGTAAGCCCCGCTGGCACATCCACACTGCCCAGAGGCACGGCTGAGCCGAGGGAGCCTCCCCGGCTGGCCAGGGGGGAACTGGGGTGGGGGAAGCTCTGTGAGGCAAGAGCTCAAGCTGCTCAGACAGCCCCTCAGGTGGCATTTCAGAGCCTCGATATTTCATGCGGTGGAAGGACCTGGCGTATGCTGGGAAGTCAGTGGCATTGATCTCAGACAGTAAATCAATGGGTCCTTCCAGCCTGGGGGAGCGTGACCTGCCAGCCCGCGCTCCCTGGCATTTTCATGACATTTCCTGAGCTGTCTCTGGGGACAGCTTGATCATCACCGCTCTGGAGGCAGCTTCCGCTCCGCAATGGCTCCAGCCCCATCTCGGCCTGAGCATCCCAGAGACCAGGGAAGGTACACACATCCCGCTCACGCCTTCCCTGACAAGCCGTGCCCTGAGCCCACCAGGTCCTGCAGGCAGAGCTGGTGGGACACCCCGGTGCCCATCACCCTGGCACATGGCCTGCCGATCACCCCCCAGGAGGATGGCCCAGGTTCAGTCCTATGCTGGGAGCAGAGCTGGGTCCTGGGGAACACAACAAGGGCACAAATCAGGCCAATGGCTCTCTTTAATTCACAGTGAGGCTTGGCCCATGCAGGGCAGGGATGGAGGAGGGCTCTCTGTATTCCCCAGGGTACAGGGGGCTGCGGTGGGCTGAGGAGGAGGAGGGTAGCACCTGCCAGATACATATTGGAGTGGGGAGAGCAGGGCATGTTTGTGGGGCAGGGGGAAGGCACAGAGCTGCAGGCAACCTGGGGCTCCCACTGTCCTGTATTTCCCCCCTGCAGGCTCCAGCTCTAGAGGGAGCAGCAGTGCTCCTTCCCTTGCCCTCGGGGGGCTGGGGCAGGAGGAAGGCTGGGAGCAAGGAGCCAGACCTGGCCACCTGCAGCTGGACACGGGCTGGCACCACAGAAGAGATGTGCAAGAAAATCAGGGGCATGTCAGTACCAGAGAACCCTGGAGAGGTCTTGAGGGAGAAGACACCCGCAGACCTTTTTCTCCCCACTCCATCCCATGCAAACCTCTCCTCCCCTTTGAGTCTCAGGCTGGGTGCAAGCACCTCTTGGGGCACCCACCCCACATGGTGTCTCGAAAGAGCCCAAGGTGCCTGACATCCACGGGCTCACACGGCTGAGCCAGGAGGAATGGGATGTTTTGGGGGATTGCTGGCATATTGCTGACATAGAAGTCGGCCATCTCCACACCACAAGGGTTGCCCTGGCCTTGGCCAGCCCCGGTGCTGAGCACAGCAGGTGCAATGCATTCCCGGGGCACAGCGTGGCCACCACCACCATGTTACCGTAACAGCACTGCTGAGAAAACCAGCCTCTGCATCGCAGCAGGATGGCACAGAGAGGTGGGGACACCTCCATCACTCCTGTCCTGCTCCCCCCCACGGGATAGGTGCACTCGGATGCTGGTGGTGGGGAAAGCTGGTCCCAGTCCCGCCATGTCCTCCCACTCTTCAGCAGAGGGACGTTGCATGGGTGGTGGCCTGGCCTCCCTCCACCTCCTCCAGCTCATACTCCTCAGCATCGGAGAGGGGCATCCCATTGGTGCTGGGCACGGGCTCACACTCAGTGCTGCGGGTGGTGGTGTGGGTGACGCTGGGCGAGTATTTCTGTGACTGTGGCAGGCGGTGGCCAGGGTGGCACATCACCTCCTTGAACATCTCCCGGAAGCGGGTGGACATCAGGTTGTAGAGGATGGGGTTAGCCGCCGAGCTCAGGTAGAAGAAGACACCCGAGATGATGTGGACGTACTGGAACATGTGGAGCATGTGGCTGGTCCAGGTGGAGACGAAGCTCCAAACAAGGCGGTCGGTGTGGAAGGGGGCCCAGCAGATCCCAAACACCACCACCAGCACAACTGTGGGAAGCCAAGGAGCAGGTGTTACTGGGGGGACTCAGTAACTCAGTGGCTCACCCACCCAGGGACCTCCAGTCCCTGACCAAGCACTGCCCTGTTTCAACTTCAGACATAGCAAAGAACACCCATAAAAGCACAGAAGAGAGGAAGGGGAAGAGGGGAAGGGCCCTCCCAGTGCCTTTTTGACTTGCCATGGCAGGGCATCCAGCCTCTGGGCACCTGGGCACCTCCACTGGCAAAATCCAAGGAGCAAGAGCTATTTGTGCCCTCTTCTTGTTTTGGGGTTTTTTATAACCCAGCTCTGGTGATGGAAATGAAACGGGGTGATGTATAGGTGGTCCTGGAGTCCCCTGCCCTGCCATACCTGTGCCACACTGCACCTGTGGCACATGGGGACAGGTCCCCCTTTGTCCTTCCCCCAGCCCTGGTGCTGAGGGAAGCGGACTTTCCACTTGGCTGGGACATAGCAGAGAAGCAGTCCTGGCCCCACAGATGGACTGGGCTGGGCAACCCGCCATCGCTGTCACGGGGCTGGGAGCATGCGGAGGTCAGCGTGCCGGGGAGAGACAGCTACCCAAGGGCGGCCAGCTCCCGCTGCTGGGAAGGGGGCCAGAGGCTGTGGGGCTGGGGCGGGCAACACGAGTGCAGAGCAGTGGGACAGAGGAAAGCTCCAGTCCAGCCTTGGGTCAGCGCATCACTGCCCAGGACAGTCGCAGTGGCTGCAGGGCTGGGTAGGAACTGGTCCCTCTCTAGGAAATCCCACCACCACCGCCAGCATGTGAGGTCTGGGCTGGGGGACGGGGAGCAGGTTCCCCCATCCCCACCCACCTCCTTTCCCTTTCTCACCCAGCACTTTCCTGGAGGAGGGCAGGTCTTGTGACTGGGAGGGAGCAGGCACGAGCAATCCTCACCACTGGACCAGAGCTACTAGATCTGCCTTTGCCCTGACATGCGGTGAACCAGCCTCAGTGCACTGGACTGGCCGTGCCTCAGTTTCCCCCCATCACTCTCCCAACACAGCCTTGGGAGATACCCCTGGCTCTGCCCATCCCCAGCACTGGGCTCCCCAGTTTCAGACTCACACAGCATCTTTGTGACCTGCCTCCTCTTGACTTTCTTTTGTCTGCGGGTGTTGCAGCAGTCGTGGCCACTGCCGGACTTGGCTCCCAAGGCCTCCAACATCTTTTCTTTCTTGAGCTGCAGGCCAATGAGAAGGTAGAGGACACTGATGGTCCCCATGGGCAGGAAGAAGAAGATGATGGTGGTGATCTGGATGATGAGGTTGTAGGTCAAGCGTGGCTTCACCAGGGTGCAGATCTCCGAATCGGGGATCTGACCCCGGCCGGGCACGTAGAGAGGCTGCAGACCATGGAGGCTGGTGTTGGGGATGGAGCAGATGACTGACAAGACCCAGATGGTGACGATGACCCTCTTGGCATGGTTCCTGGTCACCACATACTTGGCCTTGAGCGGGTGCACCACAGCGATGTAGCGCTCCACACTCAGGGCCGTGACATTGAGGATGGAAGCAAAGCAGACGGCCTCGAAGAGCAATGTCTTGAAATAGCAGCCACTGGCACCCAGCAGGAAGGGGTAGTTGCTCCACATGTCGTACAGCTCCAGCGGCATCCCCAGCAGCAGCACCAGCAGGTCGGAGACAGCCAGGCTGAACAGGTAGTAGTTGGTGGGTGTCCTCATGAACCGGTGCCGGAGGATGACGATGCAGGTGAGCGTGTTGCCTACTGCTCCCACCACGAAGATCAGCAGGTAGATGACACAGATGGGGACAAAGAAGCTGGACCGTCGAGGTCCCAGGTACTTATTCCGCAGCTGCTCCTCTGTCAGGTTGGCGTCCTTGGGGTCAAACAACGTCTCGGAGTGAGTCCTGTTGCAGAAATCAGGGCTAATGGGCTCCACTGGAAAGTCTTGCTGGAGCAGGGGGAACCTGGAGCCAGAGCAGTTGATGTAGAAATTCATGGCTGCGGAGAAATGGGGAGGTTTGCAGGATGCTTTCCGAACCCCTCTGCTGCCGCTGCTCCCTCTGCCCCTCTCCGCATTGGTATCACAGTGATGATACTGCTGATGATGCTGCTGATCACTGCAGCTGTGCACCCTGGCACCCATCCTGCCCCAGCCACAGCCTTTCTTTTGAGAAACCACCTCCCAACCTCCCTCCAGGTTTTCCAAGCGCTCCTCGCCCCATTTTCCATCCACAGACAACCCTGGCAGTGACCCATCCCACCTTGGCCCCCTTGCCCTGTCATCGGGGGGATGTCAGCAGGTCTGTCCCCTCTCCCTGCTCCTGAAGCAGAGCAGGATACAGCCCCAAAGCCAAGCCCAAAAATCGATCACAGCTCCAACTCTACCAGCGTGCAGAGAGGCTGATGGGGCAACCATAAAGCAGAGGGAAAATTGATTTTCCAACCCAAGAAAGACTTACAGCTTGTTGGAAAGCTCCAGATGAAGGCTGAGGTCGGGCTGAGGAAGGAGTGTGGGAGGGGATGGAGACTTCACTGCCTTAAGAGGCAGGCTAATGAAATCCTGCCGCTGCTCTCCTCTTCGAGCTCGGAGAAGCTGCCTGCCCTTATCCACCTTCTCCCTCTTGTCTTCCGTCAGCAGAGACGCTGGTGGGCAAGCCGGGGGGGTGCTGGGGGGCTTCCTCTCCCACCAGTGGGCAAGCAAAGCCGGGTGCTGAGACCCCACCTCTGCCGGGGGCTGGCTCCTTGTCTTCAAAGCAGCACTGCCGACAAGATGCTCTTTGGAAAGAGAGAGGAAATAACGTTAAAGTAATAAACTCCATTGACTCGAAGAGAGTCCCAGGGGAGGGCGGTGCGGCCGTCTCCATCCCACCAGCAGCAGGGATTTTCCATTTGCGTGGCCTCCGTGGCCAGGCATCGGTCAGCCCCACTGCTGTCCTGACCCTGCCCGGCGTGGGAGCCCGGGCACTGCCCGCTTGTCTGGGCTCATCTTGGGGAGATGCAGACGGACCCAGCGTCTTCCTGGGGTCTCTCCGCTTCCAGATGTGCAGCCCCTGGGTGACCCGAATCACTCCCCCGTGGAGCAGGTGGCTCCAGCCGGCTCCCGTCACGCTTTGATGGGAGGAAGTTGCTGTCGCAGCGTCACCCATCGCCCCGCGCCGGGGTCTGCTCCCTCCCTGCGCCCAGTGTCTGTCTGTGCCTGTCTGTCTGTCTGTGCCTGTCCGTATTCCTGCCTGCCCTCTGCGCTGGCACCCCGTCCTGCCGATAACCCCCCGCTCGGTAGCTGCGCGCAGACCCACGCACCCCCGCGTGCACACACACACATGCTTACACACACATGCACATATATGCACGCACACACACCTGCGTGCACACACAGACGCTCCCACACTCACTCTCGCATTCCTGCGCTCCACCCGCGGCTCCTCTCTCCTCCCACACGTGCTTTACCGGTCTGAGCCCCGTCCGGAGCCGGCGGAGCCCACGGGCGCCCACTCCCGCCGCCGAGCCCGCATCCCGAGTTGGG